TGCACCAGTGCACAAAGCAAGGTCCATAAAGACATGGATGAGCAATGGACATGGATTGGGGTGGAGGAACTTGACTGGTCTGACCTCAACCCAATAGGAGACCTTTGGGATGAATTAGAGCGGAGACTGCGAGCCAGGCCTTCTTGTCCAACATCAGTGCCTGACCTCACAAATGCACTTCTGGAAGAATGGTCAAACATTCCCATAGACACACTCCTAAACCTTGTCGACAGCCTTCCCAGAAGAGTTGAAGCTGTTATAGCTGCAAAGGGTAGGTCAACTCAATATTGAACCCTACGGACTAAGATTGGGATGCCATTAAAGTTTATGTGCATGTAAAGGCAGGCATCCCAATACTTTTGGCAATGTAGTGTATGTATACACACAAACACACACACCACTACTTTGATGAGCAAAAAAAAAGGATTTTTCAATTACCTGTAAAATCCATTTCTTACAGTACAGGACACAGGCAGAGTCTTAAATGACTGGATTATATACTCCCGCCCTCAGGTGAGTGGACACCAGCAAATTAGAGCTGTAAAGACTCCATTACAAAAACCTTACCGCCACTACCAAACCTCATTTTTTTAGCAAGTAATAAGAGGAGTCCTGTGTCCTCCACTGTCATGTAAGTAACCGATTTTACAGGCAAGCAAATAATCTCATTTTCTTTCATGTACAGGACAGGACACAGGCATTCTCAGATGACCGGAACACCCTAAAGCAATGCATAAATGTGAGGTGGGCAACACAGAAAACAATTATTAACTGAACAACAAATTAGAATAGTTGAAGACCCAAACTGTAGCACCTTGATGTAACAGAGACCAGAACATCCACCTGGTAAAACATTAGGTGGCGGAAATGCAAATCTGGAAACAGATGTCTGGTTCTGAAAAAGTGTAATCTCCTGTGAAAACCCTCAGAAAGGACAAATGCAATCCAGTTCTCTGAAAGAAGCCGTAGCTAAAGGTAAACCAGAATGGGCACAGTACAGGCTACATCCAAAGTGGAGAGAACCTCTATGGGAATCCGCTCCTTTGCTGAACTGGGAAAATTAGCCGCAAAGCTAGAAGTTGCAGCAGTGCAGCCTGCAGATCCCCAGTCAGTGTGAGAGAAAGCAGATTGAAAGAAAACATACTCCAACTTGTACCCCTGGAAGAAGACATACTGGACCCATGATCTACAATGTCCCCAGCAGCCACAAAGGCCAACAGACATCTCTCGATCTGAGGAAGTGGAGGCACCCTGTCACTGTGAGGAGGGCACGGAGTCTGATTTGACTGGCTTAGAAGTTTAGCGTCTGCAACAAAGCTGGATGACAGAACTGAAGACTCAGAGAGGGACAAAAAGGAATCCTTCAAAACCTGGAACATGCCTTTTTAAATTACCTTCTTTAAGTAACCTTCACCTGCAACACCTGTGGCTCAATAAAGGTGCAAACATTGTTCACCAGAACAGAAATGGTGTTTTTGGGCCTGGAAGATATAGCAAATCAGCAAAACCACCTCTCACATGGAAATCTTACATTCATATGAGCGGATAAAGACCTCTTATTCACTTCTTCCTCCTACTGTAAAAAGACATTAGCCAGGACAGAGGCAGAGACCATCTGAGGAGTCGAGAAAAAGGGAATCTTTCCTGGGCCCCTGCGGGTCAATGTTTCTCAAAGAGCAGTGTCTCTTACATAAATTCCTCCATAAGGAGGAAAATTCATCCATGCTTAAAAAACAAAAAAAGGATGCTTCCAATAAGGTTCTGAAGAAGTCAGGGACCCTGATTTGGGTAAGGTCCCAAGGTGGAGTAAGGCCTGCTTAAGGGCCATGTCCTTACAAACCCCCTAACTGCATGAATAGATGAGCTGCAAGGTTTTAAGGGGGGGGAATGTGGAGCCCCTAATTTTTCTGCTTCGAAAGCCCATACCCACATAATAAATCATCACTGCCCTAAACATATATAGCAGTTTGTGGCTAACTCCAAAAGCTGCATGTTCTGCTGCAGAGGAGCACAAAACGTGGGGTCCAGTGCCCAAAGCATCATTACAGGTTGGCCCTACTTCTTCCTTACAGCGGGATTTGGGTACAGTCCCAAACCGCCCCCCAGTGAAAAGATCCTATGTGGTTAATCATAAAGGACGGACTCTGAGCCCCTGATGTCACCATTTATGCCAAAATACATAGGACAGAGCCAGGATGTGTGATGTCATCACGAAAAACAGCCAACGTACATATATTTTTACCTTTGTTGCAGTACAAATCTATGTTTATGTGAATGTCTGTTTATGAGTGTTTATGTCTGTTTTAATAAAATGGCTATTGTTAAAAATACTACACTATGGACCTGCTTTCCTGTTTTTGCGGCTCCTCTTCTACATTGACTTGTGCTGAGTGGAGTGGAGCCTTCTTGGGGACCCGGATGATAGAGCTATGGTGTTGCTTTTACAAGCCTTTTCTGCCAATGCTGTTCCACTCTGGATAACTTCATCGGCACTATATATTCATAGTATTGGAATTTGCATGATTATTGTTATGGCACTTTTTGAAGTGTTATGCGTTGTGATCACATATTCTTTTCACGTGCGAGTGGGCATTTTTCACATTTTGCACGTTTAATAGTTTTTGGACATGCTACACTATGTTTGTTTTAATTTTTTTATACACTACATTCTATAATGTGGAGCGCTGTTGAGTAGAATATGGATTTTCATCGTGACCTCCTGGGAGACTAATTCACTTCTATTGAGCGCTGTTTGACTTCTCAATGAGAGAGAATCATTTAACTCTGGTAAGCAGTGAGTTATTCGCTTTACCACAATTCCCCAACATTTATTTATTGGACTATATACAGGTTTTTTAAAAAAAGTTCACATATTTTGGAGGCAGAATTATTTGTATATTATTGTATTTGGTTTTTTTTTAGTTCATATGTTCTAGTGCTGCATTTGAGGTTATTATAGGACAGAAAGCCTATGACAGCTGATTAGTTGAAGGTCACACACACCTAAATTACAAAATTAGTGACTCATGACCTCCATTCTGCTTTTTACAACAGAATTTCAATGAGTCTCAACAGTCTCAACAGAAAAGGTCTACCTCTGTGCTCTTTTGAAAATCTTTAAAGCCTTACCTTTAAAGCAACCTTGTAACAAAATGGTGCAAATAAAAGATGTAACTGTAAACCAGAAAGTGAATACTTCAATCTTATCACACCCATGTCACTCTACGGAACTAGAAACCAACATTTACGGAGTGTCAACATGCTGTAGTAACATACAGGTTAAGGGGAGGAACAGCTGAGTGCAGCGCAAGACCAGGGTTCAACCGACCCAAGAGTTTAAATTTCTGAAGAAACATTAAAAGATAATGTGACAGACCCAATCAGGACATGGGCTTTTGGAAGGGACTGCAGGCTAGCCTCTTGCTTAGCATCTGGCCCTGGCATCTGAGGAGGGCTCTATTCTTTGGAGTGTGCCTGGTGGGGGGACCTTTAGAGTAGTTTACGTCGGATTCAAGTCCATGTCTCCCCAAAATACACAGACTGGGAACTGGAGAACCGGGATACAGATTTTGAGTCTTTCTGCCCAAACTAGCATTGACTGCTTCAACTCCCCTCTTTCCTAGACTCAGAGACTCTAAGAAGATGTTGATATAATCAGCAAAACAACCTTGTGCTGAGGACTCTTGCTCTAATCTGTTTATTAAGGTGTTGTGTTTGCGATCTTCTCCCATTGTGTGCATTCCCATTGTTAATGGAGTTAATTGGGTCCTTAACTAATCAGTGTGGGATTTTTATCTCAACGTGTAATATTTACTTTATTGTTCATGAGGGGAAGAGCCCTAATTCTGGAGTGTATAAAAAAACCTGTGTTTTCTGTTCAATAAAGCGTTCCTGTTTGGCATCTAAGCAAGTCTCTTCTAGTCTTGGGTGCAATGCCTGGCTATAATATTATGTTCCTGTGTCCCAATGGCAAGGAAGCAGTTCTCTGACGGAATCACCCAAGCGGGGTGACAGGCATTCCATTACAGATAAGTTCACTTTTGGAATATGTAACATGAACATGTTCTAGCATCAGCACCTTCTCCACCCTGATCCCCCGCCCCTGTGACAGCGGGCAGGGGGATCTTCTCCCCGCACCAGCCATCACAATTTGAAAATAGCGCGGCCATATGGGGCTCCACTCACATGGCCGAATCAGTTTCCTGCTCTCAAGTAAATGACTGCCTGTATGAATGTGCAGGAGCCTGACATTGCATATGTGTTCTGCTGATCGCGGGTGCAATGCTGTGCAGGCTCCTTAAAAAAAATTGCTGATTTTTTTTTACCTGCAAAAAAATGTGCATTTATTATTTTTTTCTAAAGATGAACTTAGCCTTTAACTAGGGAATTTGTCTTCAAGTGACTGGCATTTCGGCAGTGCAGGTGGCATATGAAGTAACTATTCCTTTACTTCTGTACTACCTTCACAGGTACATTTTTATGGACACTTTTTGTTTAAACTGAGTCATTTTTAAGCAAGAAATAAAAGAAAAAACCTGTGGAGAAAGAGTATAGATGACAGAATCAAAACTAAATGATTTTCCTTTAGCATTGCTGTTCAGTAAAGTTTCACACAGACTATGTCAAATATATATCTTTTAAAGTGGAATTTCAGCCAACACTTTTTTTTAGTTTAGGATGGAGTGGGGGTCAGAATTTGATGCTGACATTGTAACTACTGAGGAGATTTACACTTGCGCCTGTACCATAAACAACAAAGCAAGGAATATTTGACATCTGCTACTAGGACATACATGCCCATTGGAAAAAAAACTCATATACTCCAGTTCTAACAACAATCAAGAGTTTTCATCAATTTCTGTAACAGTGATAAAACACATCAAGTACAAAGCAGTCTCCCAAAAAGGGATAGTAATAACAAGACAGTCTTCCCCATCCATCTCAAAATCTAGCTGGAGGTCCACTTTAAAAAATACATCACTGGTTCATTATGAACTCACCTCAACATTTCCACTGCTGGCACATAGAAAGCAAACTTCACGTGGGGTGATCGGTACAGTTGTGAGTACGCTGAGGCCACCCATGTCCCAGGCACTACCCAAATCACAAATCCTCCTGTAGAAAAACCATAACTATTTCAGAACCGGGCACAAAATGTTTACAATAACTGCTTCATTCTATTCCTATCTGGAATAAAATGGCAAGAACAAAGAGAAAACCTAAAAAAAGGAAAGGGTTGCAAACCTTGAAATCTACTCGAATTCGATGTATTCCATCAGAGGGAGGCTTCTGTCTGGAGACACTACCATTGCACAGAGAACTGAGAGGACTAAAGTTAACCTCAGGCTTGCTGGGAGCTACTGGCTTCTCCTGCCAAAAAAAAAAAACATAACATATACTGGATAGTTCATTAAAAATTAAATAAATTAAATCATAGCCTTCCTATTCAATGATGCGCCAGCTTCAAAATTATATTCTTAAGTCTGAAAAAAAGGGAAGGCAGGTTGAAATGAGTTAGACCTTGGGCATACAAGTATCTTCAGCCAAAGTTACCTTGTATGTTGTGAGGCAAAAAAATGGCAGGAGAGAGAAGTTAAAATATGTCATGAGAAACACTGGCTATGCCTGTAACCTAGTATCAGACTAAAATGAATATCATCATCAGGTAATACCCTGAAATCTCTTATGTTGGGCATACACACAAAACCCTAAGCATTCAGAAAGTCAAAAATTTCAATAAACAAATTTTTCATTTGTATTGCAAAGTGCTATTGGAGACAGCTGACCAACCAAAACATCAGCTTTGCAAGTAATTAAGCTCCATACACACAGGCTGAATATTGGGCGGTTCAAAAGAAACCGTTTGACATTCGGCCTGTGTGTATGGAAAAAAGCAATGACCAAAAAAGGTCTGCCAGTGGCTAAGAGCTCTGACTGGTGTGTTCTGGCAGGGGGAGCAGTCACCCTCAGGCAGGGGGAGCAGTCACCCTCAGAACACAATAGCACAGCAGGGGAGATCGCTGTAATAACACTGCTTGTGTTCGTACAGGGATCTGTCAGTTTGTTTGTTTTTTTCCTTCAGTCTACTGGGTTGAAAGGAAAAAAAAAAACTGATAGTGTGTATGGGGAATTAGAATGATAAATACAAATTTAAATGAATAGACAGCCTTAACGCAGCATTTGGCATATAGACAGGCACTAAAGCACCTCTATGGTGTGTTGGTTGGCACCAACAAGTTTTTTTTATTTTCAACTTCCCTACCACTGAAGGTTTTAAAACGGCGGAACAGTAAATGCGCATTTCAGGAGTGCGGTTTATAAAAAACACTTCAAAAAACACAAATGCACCTGTAAATGGAAGTGATCTGGGCTGCCAATGAACAGCTCAGACCACAGACACAATGTACAAAGGCAGTTGGAGTTGCTCTGTACCTTGTGATTGCTTTAATGACCACTCACAGCGATAACATTTGTAAGCACTAGTGTTCACAATTGAGAGCTCTGCCTTTCCTCTCATAAAACAGAAAGGGGAAGAAGTAAGGATTTATGAAGATTAGTAAATGAAGGTATCAGCAATAGAAAGGTATGAGGTTGTGAATTATTGGGGTCTTTTTTTTTTTTGCATACTAGCACATTATGCTCTTAACTTGCAGGGAGAAGATATATTTTTTTTACGGTTTACTATCGCTTTAAAAAAAATTCTCAATTCTAGGTTGTTACCAGAAAGGAAATAGAGGTGAAATCTTTAATAGAGACACTAGTTCTGGTGACAACCAGAAATTCCTTCACTTTGGAGGGATTTCCTCTCACTTCCTGCTTTGGTTATGGGACAGAAGTGAAATCTCCCTAAGGCTCCATTCACACTTGTGTGACTTTGGACACAAAGTTGCAGCTCATGTATTTCAATGGAAGCCATTCAAATCTATGCAACTTAAAAGAAGAAGCAACTTTAAAAGGGTTCCTGCACTACTTTGATGCAAAATACATGAAAGTCGCATCTTAATGTTATCAGTGCCACAGTTGTACAACAGTCAAAGTCAACAGCCAAAGTTGCATCCAAATCGCACCCATATAAAAATTGCAATGGAAATCACAGGACTTCGGAGTCACACAAGTGTGAATGGAGCCTAATGAGACACAGACAGCAAAAGAAACTGAGGGAGGGTTATAACCCTTCTGTAATCTATCCTAAATGGGGGGGAAAACATTTTATACATAAATAAAAAGGCAAAACTCCAAGCCAAGCTAACGTTTTGATTTTCATATACAGGATCTCACAGAAGTGTCACCTTTCACTTTTTTGTAAATATTTTATTATATCTTTTCATGTGACAACACTGAAGAAATGACACTTTGTTACAATGTAAAGTAGTGCATGTACAGCTTGTATAACAGTGCAAATTTGCTGTCCCATCAAAATAACTCAACACACAAGTCATTAATGTCTAAACCGCTGGCAACAAAAGTGAGTACACCCCTAAGTAAAAATGTCCAAAATAGGCCCAAAGTGTCAATATTTTGTGAGGCCACCATTATTTTCCAGCACTGCCTTAACTCTCTTGGGCATGGAGTTCACCAAAGCTTCACAGGTTGCCACTGGAGTCCTCTTCCACTCCTCCATGATGACATCAAGGAGCTGGTGAATGTTAGAGACCTTGCGCTCCTCCATCTTCCATTTGAGGATGCCCCACAGATGCTCAATAGTGTTTAGGTCTGGAGACATGCTTGGCCAGTCCACCACCTTTATCCTCAGCTTCTTAAGCAAGGCAATGGTCATCTTGGAGGTGTGTTTGGGGTCATTATCATGTTGGAATACTGCCCTGCGGCCCAGTCTCCGAAGGGAGGGGATCATGCTCTGCTTCACTATGTCACAGTTCATGTTGGCATTCATGGTTCCCTCAATGAACTGTAGCTCCCCAGTGCCGGCAGCACTCATGCAGCCCCAGGCCATGACACTCCCACCACCATGCTTGACTGTAGGCAAGGAACACTTGTCTTTGCACTCCTCACCTGGTTGCTGCCACACACGCTTGACACCATATGAACCAAATAAGTTTATCTTGGTCTCATCAGACCACAGGACATGGTTTCAGTAATCCATGTCCTTAGTCTGCTTGTCTGAGCAAACTGTTTGCAGGCTTTCTTGTGCATCATCTTTAGAAGAGGCTTCCTTCTGGGATGACAGCCATGCAAACCAATTTGATGCAGTGTGCGGCGTATGGTCTGAGCACTGACAGGTTGACCCCCCCACCCCTTAAATCTCTGCAGCAATGCTGGCAGCGCTCATACGTCTATTTCCCAAAGACAACCTCTGGATATGACGCTGAGCATGTGCACTCAACGTCATGGTTCACCATGGAGAGGCCTGTTCTGAGTGGAACCTGTCCTGACCTGTATGGTCTTGGCCACCGTGCTGCAGCTCAGTTTCAGGGTCTTGGCAATCTTCTTATAGCCTAGGCCATCTTTGTGTAGAGCAACAATTCCTTTTTTCAGAACCTCAGAGAGTTCTTTGCCATGAGGTGGCATGTTGAACTTCCAGTGACCAGCATGAGAGTGTTTAACACCAAATTTAACACACCTGCTCCCCATTCACACCTGAGACCTTGTAGCACTAATGAGTCACATGACACCAGGGAGGAAAAATGGCTAATTGGGCCCAATTTGGACATTTTCACTTAGGGGTGTACTCACTTTTATTGCCAGCGGTTTAGACATTAATGGCTGTGTGTTGAGTTGATTTGAGGGGAGAGCTAATTTACACTGTTATACAAGCTGTACACTCACTACTTTACATTGTAGCAAAGTGTCATTTCTTCAGTGTTGTCACATGAAAAGATATAATAAAATATTTACAAAAATGTGAGGGGTATACTCACTTCTGGGAGATACTGTATTTATGAAAAAAGCAACATATACAGACAAAACAGTACATCAGAGTACATGCACAAGATCTGCCCACAGTTCATCTTATCTAGGCAAATACAATATCTCACATACAAGCAACATATGCATTTTCATTAGAACAGGGAGATCCAGGCTAATCGTAAGGCAATTATTAAACATCAATACACATGGATAGAGACCAGAAAAAAAAACGTTTCTGCTGACGTACAGACACACAGGATCAGGCGGCGGTGGGAATCACAACCTTTTGGAGTAAAAACCCCTTTCACAAGTGGGATCCCCCTGTCTGCATGTGGTACCCAGATCAATACAAACCAAAGCCATGATTCCTTTCTGCAATGTGTTCATACTTGGTGTCGCTATATTGACGACATTCTTTATATGGTAAAGCTCCGAATCTCAGCTTCTTCAATTCAAGAATTATATAAATATATAAAAATAAAAAAAATATGAAAATAAAAAAGTTAGCTGTTTGGAGTGCTGCCTATTTACTTATAGATTATTATTCCTGGGTCTTTATTTAAAGGAAACCCAATATATGGTTCCAGCACCCGTATTCATTCAAATAACCCTTTAGCCACTGATGTTGTGATTTGGGTGTGCATTACCTCGTCTTACTGTTTATTTGGAAAAACATTTTGCCTTTAGTTGTACTTTAATTCCTTCAGCATCATCCTATCACTGTATGTGTCCTGTACATTAACCATGCTCATCACTACCTCCTCCTTCAATGCATGATCTATACACTAATAGATGCACTTTATCTACTGCAGAATTAACCAGATCCATGTTTAACCAATTCAATACCGGGCAATTTTACACCTTCCTGCCCAGGCCAGTTTTCAGGTTTCAGCACTCTCACACTTTGAATGACAATTGCGCGGTCATACAACATTGTACCCAAACTAAAATTTTATCATTTTCTTCACACAACTAGAGCTTTCTTTTGGTGGTATTTAATCACCGCCGGGGGGGGTTTTTATTTTTTGCTAAATATTTCTTTGTTTCTATTATAAAAGTTTGCAAATAAATAATTGTTCTTCATAAATTTAGGCCAAGATGTATTCTGCTACATGTCTTTGGTGAAAATAACCCAAATTAGGATGTATTTTTTAGTTTGTAGGAAAGTTATAGAGTTCACAAACTATG